AGAAACAATGCTAACAGGAACAGTTTTATATCGACCAGTAATTGTAATAAATCCTTTATTAGATTCAAAAATAAAGGTTGATGAGAAAGGAAGGGGTAAACTTGTTAAAGCTGTTAATAGAATGTTGAGTATAAAGAGAAAAAAAAAGGATTTGGTTGATTAATAAAGTATTTTTTCTTGTAGATAATATTTAATTAATTTGAACATTTCTATTTAAATTTAATTTGTTAACAAAATTTTTTTTTTTTTTCTGTTTTTTTTTTTTTTTTTTCTTTTTTTTTTTTTTATATATATAGTATTTTTCGTAACTTCATTACACCTTGTGAATAAATCATAAAAAAAAAAATAATAATTCAAATCTATTAAATCTACTAAAGATTGATATCGATACTTTTCTATATATATATGGTGCTACTCGACAATAAAATAGTATAACTTTAAAATGCTTCAACTTTTTATAGAAGCAATATTTTTAAAGACTATTTAGCAGTTTTATAGAACTTATTATAAAGAATAAAACTACTGGTTAGATTTGTAAAATTTTGCTTTAGTAAAAAGTTATAGCATTTTAAAATTCGTTTAAAATTGAAACATATAGTAATTATATATAAAATAATAGTAATCTTTAAAATGCTTCAACTTTTTATACATTTATTTGGCAAATTTATAGAACTAATATTGTTTTATAAAAGTAGTTTTTTAAAAAAACTGACCGGTAATTGTATAAAAAGTTATAATGTTTTAAAAACTGAAACATGTTTACCCCTTCCTTTCTCATCAACCTTTTCATTACCATTTACAAAACCATTATTAAAAAAATTCTGACTTCGACATCCATTTTTAACATCAATATACAAATTCTCTTTACTACTCCTAATTTCATTATATTTTATCTCAACACTTTTTCTAGAACTATTGGATAAATGACTAAATCTTCCTCCACTAAAATTACTTAAATTACTAAATCTTCCATTTTTTTTCCCATTTTTTTCACTATTTTTGATTCTTCCAAATCCAAATCTATCCTTTTCATTAGAAACGTTCCAAACGCATTCTTCCCCATCCATCTCATTTTCCACTTCAACTTTAATTAACGTATTAAATATAGCTTCTCCACATATTGGTTCTAGGTAATTAATAAGGTCGGGTGATATAAAATTATCAGTAGACCTATCACAGAATACTATCATTGCTGTTGAAGTTTTTATACCAGTTTTATTTTTTTGTTTTGTATTAACGTTATTATATTTATTTTGATTATTAATATTCCAATTATTATTAATTCCTGGTTGATTATAGTGCATTGAATTTGCGGTAGTAGTAGTTGTAGTAGTAGTAGTTACTTTAATTCGAGATTTAATACCATTCTTGATTTCATTTTCTTCATTACCAAATATATGAGTATTTGGTTTTATAAAATTATTTACCGAAGAATTTTTATTTTGATAATAAAGTGCGGTTTTTGATGATTTAAGGGGAAGTGAATGTGTTGAAGAAGAATTAGATGAAATTTTATAAGGATGATTAGGTGTTCTTTTGTTGATATGTGTATTATTACTTCGAGATGTAATATATTTGTTAAAAGATAATTGAGAATTATTATTCAATATGGCATTATATAACATATTGGTACTTTCATCACTTTTAAATTGTTGAGTATTTATTATACTATTACGAATATTCCGTGACTTTTCTTGATCTCTTAAATGAGATGCGTAACGACAAGTATTTGCCAAATGGAATAGCATAAAAGATTGCATGTCTACAATATGTGCATCATCATATTTTTCAAAAATTGTTGGTATCAATTCTTGATTGTCATCTAAGAAATAGGGATCGACTCGACCTTGTGATGAATAGAATGAATCAGAGCACGCACTTAGGCAAGTATATATCAGGGATGGATAGAAGGCAGCAGATAATTCTGATTGCAACTATAAAAAAAAGAAGTTGTTGTTATTATTATTATTATTTATGATCTATATTTATGACCTATATAATATTTTAAAACACTCCTTTTATATTTTTATTAATACATACCAAATAGCTCAATTCCTCATCAGCATAAACAACTTTAGATATGTAATAAGGGGAATCGACTATTGGCATCGCATCATTTGTATCAATACCATGTATGAAATAGTCATAATTTCTAGTCACTGAGAACGCGCCATATGGTACGAGAATGTTACCTATTGTGGGTGTACCTATTGAACCACAAGAGCCAAACCGGATTATTATTATTTCTCCTGTTATTATTTGACGGACTTCGCGAATAAAAAAATCCATCATCATACAACCCTTAATAATTATTAAAATCAAGATTAATATCAAGCACGATCTTAAAAAACATATATATATAAAAGATAATAATTCATATTCATACCATCATTATAGAAACAATGCTAACAGGAACAGTTTTATATCGACCAGTAATTGTAATAAATCCTTTATTAGATTCAAAAATAAAGG